ATAACTTAACTATATAAAAAATCCTGCTTAGTGTTTACTAGCTACTTAGATAGAATTTTTTTTTTTTTTACTTAATTACTAACTATTTAGAGAATAAGCTAGAGATTACTTTTAGCTATAAAAGTAAGCCTAAGAGCTATATATAAAATGCATTTTAAACTATATAATATTATATAAGTATAAATCTAATTAATAAATAAGCTTATGCGCACACTATACATAAAGCTACTAAAGAAAATACTCTAGAGCTTTCTACTAAATATAATACTCTAGGTTATATAACTTTTATATAAAGCTACTAAATTAGAACTATATTAGTTTAAGACATACTATAACTACTATAAAAAAAAGCTATGTATGTACATCTTTTTATATAACCTTTACCTTTTAATTACTAATAAAGAAAAGCACACTTTTAGTATTACTAGCTAAAAGATAGACAACACTTTAAGCATTATAATAAAAAATTTTACGTAAAAAAAAAAACTATAAAAAGTAAAGTTATATATAAAAAGTAAGACTATTCTAGTAAAAAAGCAGACTGTTAAGTTTAATAGTAAAAGAATTAAACTTATATATAATATAGTAGTTTTTACTTAGAAGAAATAAGTAAGCTACCTTTATATAATTAACTTAAAAAATAAAGATGCTGTATAATAATATATTAAGTAGTATATAAAAGAGGCATATATTACATTTATATGTTAACTAGAGGCAGCATTAAACTTATTTATTACTGCATAAACTATAAACTCTTTATATAATAATATTTAAGCACTTAACGCATAAATCTAATAGTAGATAAATAATAGTAAGTATAGTTTTACTTTTTTACTATTATAGCTTAATTATGTAAAGCTATTTATTTTTATAGATATATTATTTACTAATAATAAAAACTTTAGCTTATAGCTAGAATTTTTAATTATATTAAGTAATAAAAACTATAACGTACCTAACAGGTTAGCCGGCCACACAGGTTGGCCGGCCACTTTTGCTAAGCCCCTACTAAACTCTACCTATCTACATAATGCCTTAACAACAACACTAGATTAAATCTTCTAAAGAACATTAGATATAGCTTGCTTTTTAAGCTTTTAAATAAGACTTAAAACTTTTTTTATAACGCGCTATAGCTATCTATAATGTCTTTTATATAACACTAAGCAATTAACGCGCTAGACAGCCTTTACAAGTAAAATGCTAGCCTAAATTAAGAAATCTAACTAAGCTTAAAAAGAAAGTAGTTATTAAGTACATACTTAAGCTTATTACACGCAGATTTCTCTTTAGGCTTACAGCTGTAGCTAATATAGCTAATTCCTTGCCTGCAGAGCGCAATCTAGGCTAGGTTAGCTTAAACTAGCCTAGTATGTAGGTTAAGCACTGCCCTAAGTTTATAATAACGTTTAATTATAAGTATAATTATAAAAGAGCGCTTTATAAGAATCTAGAAGTTATCTAGGGCTAGTTTTGCCTAGTAGCTAACATAAAAGCTAAGTACAGTATCTAGAATAAAGACATGTATAACTTTAATAAGTTAGGCTTTATAATAAGCTAGATATTAACTAGAGCAGTTATTATAGCTTTAGAGAGATAAAAACAGCTAAAAGTAATATAGTAAAGTAATAAAAAGTAGACAATAGTTATCTAAAGCATTAACATAATAAAGTAGGCTATAAGATTATAGAGCTTTAAGCAGTAAATAAAGCTGCTACATAATATAAATTACATAAGAAAAGTAAATTTAGGCAAAAAAAACCTTAATAGTTAAAAATAGAGCTTATCTAACTGCTTTAAAGGAGTTTAGAGCGCGTAGTAATAGAAAGAAGCTAAAGACGCAGGTGTACACGAAAAAAAGTAAGCTAAGTTAAAAGTAATATAGGCAGTGTAATTAAACTAAGCATAACTTGCGTATGTATAAGTAAGTAGTAGAAGTAGACTTTAAATAATATCTTATGTTATATTACTTTATACAGGGCTAAAGTAGGCTGTTTTGCGAGAGAATAGGGTGGTTTTAGTAGGGGCTTAGCAAAAGTGGCCGGCCAACCTGTTAGGTACGTTAGTCTAATTTCACTATTTATAGCACTTTTAGAATAGCTTACCTACTTTAGCTTACACCTACTTTTTTAAAGCTATTAAGTATACGCTTTTTTAAATTATTAAGGTTTTTTTTATATTAATTTACTTTTTTTATATATAATTTATGCTATGTAGTAGCCTTATTAGCTGCTTAAAGCTTAGTAATTTCTTATTACACTAACACTAGCTTATGCATAATTATTACTACTCTTTTTAAAACCTGTGGAGGATAAAATAGCCTAGCAGTAGCTGTTTAGAAGATTAGATAAAGTAACTCTGCTATCTAAGAGAGCTGAAGGCTCTTCTTATATACACTAAGCTTTAGAACATAATATCTCTAGATCCTAAGCTGCGTCCTAGGTTCTAAGCCCTAGCTAAGGCTCTTAGTATACGCGACAAACCCTTTTTAAACACTTTAACTATAAAAGTTAGTAAACTATTTATATACTTCTAAATTTTAATTTTTATAAGTATTAATTATAACTTAAGTTTTAGGGTATTACTTGGAGTTTATAACTACTAAAGCTTATTATGTATAGGTAGTAGTAGTAATAGAGTGCACAACTTTACATTAAGGCCTATTATAACTTATTATAGGTTAAAAGAAACTAATCTAGCGCTTTAGAACTCTTTTTATATATTACTAAAAGTAATTATAGTATTATAAGCTACTTTAAAGCGTAGTAAGAACTTTATTTTTATAATATAAGTAATTTAGTTATATATAAAGTTTTTAGCTTAGCACTTATACACCTTTTTTAAAGAAGTAAAACAACCTACATTAAGTAGCTATAAAAGGTATAATAAGTAAAAAAGTATATAAAGAGTAATAATCTTATTATTTTTATAGTATTACTAAAAATAAAGTAAGTTATAGCTCTTATATCTATTAATAACTAGTAAATAGTAGCTGCTAATAGTATACTTCTTTATACGCGTGTTAAAGTGCTTTAACTAGTCTAGACTAAGCTAATTAGTAGTCTAGCTACACTTAAAAACTATAATAACTTAATTTTAAAGTAGATTTTTTTTATACTAGTTTAAAAAGTAATTACTACTCTAAAAAATAATAAAGAGTATAATAGCCTACTTTTAGCATTTATGCCCTAGATAGCTGTTGTCTACTTCTAGTTACTTAGCTAGACTGCTTTAGCTGTTCTTATCTCTCTAAACTTATAACAACTACTCTAGTAGATATTTAGCCTATTATAAACTCTATTTTGTTAAAGTTGTACATGTTATTATTTTAAATGCTATACTTAGCTTTAATATTCTTTATAAAGTTAAACTAGCTTTAAATTACTATAAAAATTTTATAAAAAGCTTTTTTATAGTTATACTTCCACTTAAACTTTACTTTAAGCTTTAGGTAACACTTAATAAACATATTAGGCTAGTTTATGCTAATATAGCTTATATTACATGTTGCGTTTGCCAAAAGGTCAACCTCCCAGCTAGCACAGCAGAAGGATATATATAGACGGATAGCTGTACGCGACACACCCCCCAGCTCAAACCATGGAACGAGAGAGGTGAAACATGGTGAAACAACCTTAACACACCCTCCCCAGCCTAAGCAACAGAACTTAGAGACAGATCTAGTAAAGTAGCCTCTGTAATAGACGCACTGCCTAAATGCTCTTTGCTAAGCGTGGGAATCGCACACGCAGTGCTCCGGGATAATGCGATCCTATTAGTGGAGCAGGGGTGCGCAAATTTTTAAGCGCTAACCATCTACACTACGCCGCGAACCAGGCTCATAACTGTGGAGGATAAAATAGCCTGGCAGTAGCTGTTCAGAAGATCGGATGAAGTGACTCCGCTATCTAAGAGAGCTGAAGGCTCTCCTTATATACACCGAGCTTCGGAACATAATATCTCCAGATCCCGAGCTGCGTCCCAGGCTCTGAGCCCCAGCCAAGGCTCTCAGTATACGCGACATTACACTTAGTGTGTAAAGAGTTAGCTATATTAGCTATAGCTACTAGCTAGAGAGGAAATCCTTGCGCATCTTGCTTAAGTATCTGCTAAATAATTACCTACTCTTTATTATTATCTAGCTTTTATAAGTTAGCTATATAATTAGCTTAGAAAGGTTATCTAGCGTGTTAGTTACTTATTATCTTTTAAAAGACTCTATAAATAGCTGTAGTATGTTACTTAAAAAGTGTTATGTTTTATTTAAAAGCTTAAAGTGTAAAAAGAGTAGTGCAGTAGAGTCTTAGCAAAAGTAAGCAACTTAGGTGTGTAAGCACCTTGCCTGTGAAGTATGTTAGCATGTATTGTGTAAAACATAGTTAAATTATGTTAGTTGCGTCTATTCTACCTCTCTAGCCTTATTAGTGTGTTAGGGATTAGCATTAGCCACGCTTAGTTGCAGGCTGTGATTAGTTGCGTGCTGTAGTTAAATGTTGTTGTTATGCGTCTATTACCTGTCTAATACTACGTTGCTAAGCATTATGCTGCAACTATTCTTTAACCTAAACAACCCACCTTAATGCTCTAACTATTACTCTTAGCAAGCTTTGCTTTTACAGATTATTTATAAACTGTTGTAGTATTTTATTTACATGTCGTCTTAAACTCTCAACACCGCAAACTTCTCTTACTTCCACTACACAAAGCAACAACAACCTTGCATTATAAGTTCTCCCACTACTATTTCTATTAATTCTCTTGTTAAAATGAACTAGTTTGATGTGATTTTCTAATCTTTTGTTTCCTTCGCAATTTATTCCCTGTCACTATGTACAGCTGTGAGATCAGTTAGCAAAAATGCACTAAAGGCTATCTAGGTTGATATTTGATAAAATGTTGCCGGGCAGAGTTCCACCCAAATTAAGTTGCGCAAATTTTTCATTGTAGTGGAAGTTAAGCTTAAGATTTTCCTTCTAAGATTGCTTAGAGGACTAAACAAAACTTCTCTTTTAATTCCTTTAAGAACCATTCCTAGAAGCTGTAGCTTGACACATTGCCTTGTGATCTCCGTAATGGGCGACCTGGCATGCCCGCCCACAGTACATGACCGCGTTGCACCTTCCGCACCGCATCAGCTGCACAGAAACCTTTTTGCACTTGGCGCATTGGGCTGGTGCCGACAACGGACCCCTCTTATTTCCACTTCCGCTCTCTACCTCCGCCAACAAATTCTCCGCTGTCTCTCTCGTCAATCTCAGTACCCGCTGTTCACCCAAGCTGACGTGCGCCGCCAACCATGCGTTCCTTTCCGGAGAATAGAACCCCTCTGCGAGTTGCTCTTCCAGCTTTTCTAGTTGAGTTCTGAAACCATCAAGAAGACCAGAGATCGATTCTATTAGAAACCGCAGGACTTCCACTTCGTTTGAATCGCTGATTTTCTCAACTGGAACATCGCTTTTATGATGCGCTATTAAAGCAAGATCAGATTGGTGTAGCCGTTGAATACGGAGGTATCGAAGGACGCTACTTGGTAGCGGATCGGTGAGAGTGAGAGAGATGGTAGAGGTCGAATCGAGCCCAGCCGATACCCAGAGATTGTGCTTTTGCTCAAAAAATGGCGCCATAGGATGCGTCGTGAGAACGAGGTCATAGCTGTCGTTGGGATTACCGGGCACGACAAAGCCATAGAGACGTAAAAGGCGATTGTTTGGAATAGGCCCATAATTGATGAAAACCTGGAAGAACACTTCTAGGTAAGCGCATAATTGGTAGCATTAGACAACAAGATGGACGTACCTGATCTCCCAGTTCGTAGTCTTTCCCGGCAAGAACAGAGAGGTCCCCAGACAAGACATCGTAGACGTGACACTGCCCAACCTCCGACGAGTGGTTCAACATGTCCGCGAAGGGCGCCAAAAGTCGAATCGAATCTCCATCGGGCAGCTTAAAATCCATCGCACGACTCCACACGGTGCAGAGTGCCCATTTGTACTGAGAGATGGGAAATAAGTGTCAGTAGCCAATTCGCAGCATCTTCCGTGTGATGTAATACCTACGTCTTCGATAGTGAATTTGTCGCGTGGAAACAGTTCTTGATGTTGTTCAAACAGTCGCACTACTAATCCCCTATAGTCATCCTCGATCTGTCGATGCAACTGCTTCGTAATAGTGTGGAGCGAAGTTCCCGCGCAAACTTCCAGCTCGGCCTCCGCAAAGAAGATACTCGAAGTATAGCTCGCAGGCAGCGCTGCCACATGGCTTCCCATGCCATCGTATCCCGACCCGCGCGATCGGACAAAGAGAATATACGTAGCCAAGGTGTCATCGACAGACAAGGGCGGTCGCGTAGAGAGAAGGGCTGGCCCAAGGATGGGATCAGCATATGCGTGTTCCACTGTCCAGAGAACGCCATGTGGAATGGTGAGAATCTCTTCTCCTTCCTTGAATCGCCGCAGCGTTCTGACACCGCGCCCAGTATCCGAGAAGTCGGCAAGCTCGACGTCGTCCAAACCTGACGCTCCAGATTGTTTCAGCCAGCTTTCCATAGGATCGGACGCGAGAGTGTGTGCGTGAGGAGGCGAGGAGATTACTGTCTGTGGCTGGGGCTGGGTTATTGCGCAACGGGTGAGGCGAGCGAAGCTAATTTCCAGTCGATCCTCATGCACAAGCCGACATCCGTGCGTAGAATATTCTAAATAAATTACAAGATTTTGTAAGCAGCTTGCTTAGGAAATAGTTAAACTTAACGTGTTCCACTACTCACCTAGCCACCCTACCAGGGTTGTCAACAATACAACAACAGAAACAATACAATTATTTGTTTTTTATTAGTATTTTATTTTATTTATTATTTTTCTACTATTTTAATTATACAACATACTTTAAGCTATTCTCCTACTAGGATTCTACTTTAGTACTAACTTTTTATACATTCTGTATGTTTAAAACTTAATACACTAAGCTGCATTCTCTTCTACAATATTGTACAACGTTCTTCTAAAAATACCTGTTCTAATTTGTTGCTTATTACAGGGATTAATAGGATGTGAATAGCAAATATTAAAAGCTGTAGCTAGCGTTTTCTTTGCGCACTTGCACACTACTACTGCAAAGAGAACACTTAAACTTTATATAGTGCTTTAGTATAGTCATCTTTATACTTGTCTTAACTAGCTAAGCAATTTATTAATTAATCTTATTAATAATTTTATTAAACTTAGTAAGTTCTTGTTGCAGTGCAACTTTAAGCGTTTTGTATAATACTAGAGTTAGTAGAATTTGTAAATCTTAATGTTGTATCTAAAGCTTTTTTACTTTAGAAAGTATAATCTTTTAATAATCTTTTTTCTACTAAATCTTTACATATTTAGTATAATAGTTTAGATAAAGAATAAGTGCTATAGTATAGCATAGAGAGTTATCTATTTTATAATAATATTTCTTAAGCTTCTAAATTGCTTGTTAAATACACAAAGCTAAGTTTTTAATTATATAATAATAACTTAAAAACTTCTTTATATATTTATTAAGAACGTCTATTGTAAAAAGAAGCTTGTCTAGTATAATATAGTTGCCTTACGTTTCTAAAGTTGCTCTGTAGAATAGCTATAGAAAAGCGCTTATTGTATAAAGAGCTCTCTAATCTTATAGAGAAAGATAGTCTGTTTTAAGTAATTTCAAATTTGCTTTAACATAATTATTAAGAGCTAATTCTTTGTTAAGTGCTTTACATAGCATTTAGTACTAGCTATTCTATTGTGTAGAGTTATTAAGTAGAATTTATTGCTACGCTAAAAAAATAAATTCTTTTATACAATTTGCTAAGAAATAAAAGTAAACAATAATGTTGTAAAGCTTTCTAAGAACACTTATTATATAAAAACCTTCTTCTTTTTCTACTTAAGCTTGCTTATCTAGAACTCTTTTAAGTGTATCTACTTTATTATATGTAACAATTGTTTTAAATTAAGCCTTGTTAAAGAGGAAAACCTAGATAATAAGATGAATTATATGTTCTTAGCAGTAAATCTATTAGAATAGAGAGTTTTAAGTAATACTATCGGGTATACTAAGAGCCTTAGCTGGCGCTCGAAGCCTGGGACACGGCTTAGGATCTAGAGATAGTATGTTCTAAAGCTTAGTGTATATAAGAAGAGCCTTTAACTCTCTTAGATAGCAAAGTGGCTTCATCTAATCTTCTAAACAGCTATTACTAGGCTATTTTATCCTCTATAGTTATAGGCCTTGCGCTTTAAGAACCTAGGACAATTCTCTTTATATAACTATAGCGCTAGTAAAAGCTGTTTAGAAGCTTTTTTATCTTTATTCCCTCTAACGCCTGTGTTATGTCTAATTAAGAAGCTTCTCTTCTAACAGGAGTGTACTAGCTTAGAGACCACGCAAGCTAGCCTCTCTAATTTATCTAGCCCTAGTTCTATGCTCTTAGCAAAAACCTATAGAACTAAATTAATCTAGATAGACTAGACGCTCTAAATCCTATAAACAGCGCTTCTAAAATGCCTATACTTAGAGTAATTACTGCTATAAATGTTTTAGAAAAGACTAATATATAGTACTAGACTAATATTACTAAGTATAAAGCTTACTAAAGTAACTAGGCTTTTTACATAGCATAACTTTAGACAATCTAGAACTAGGTTAATGCAACTGTTGCACTAAAGCTTCTTAAACCTATAATAATGCAGCTTATGTTAGAGAACTAATTAACTTTATAAGTACTAGTATAAGCGTTAAAATAAAAGCTAGCACTAATAGACATAAGCATAAAGAATTTAATATAAGTAGAGTATAAGGCTTACTTTACTAAAGTAAAGCATAGCACTATAACTCTAAAAGCTTAGTACTAACAGTAGTACTTTCTATACACTAAGGTAAAAACGTATAAGATTCTTAATATAGAACGCTAGCTAGCTGCACAAGACTTTCTAGACGCCCTAGCTCTAAAGCTTGCACTAGACTTAGCGCGCTCTATGCACTAAAGAGTTATAAAGGCTAGCGTACTTAGCAAGAAACTTCTAATAATATAGAAAATTAGTAAAATCCTTTTAATAATACTTTAAAAGCACTTCTTATGCGCAAGTAACTAAGGTATAGGTATATTTATAACACTTAGCAGATAATTAGATAATAATATAACATAATTTATTTTAGCCTAATTAGGCTACTTTTGCTTATGTAAAGCTTTAGAGTAATCTTTTTACTTATAAAAGGTAGTAAACTGTAGAGACTTAAAGTTAGTAGTTATTAGAAAACTAAAAACACTTAGTTAAACTACACACTAAAAAATCTTTAAAAGGCTTAAGTAGGTGCAGTATAAAAAAGTAAAAGCTATACTACTTAAAAAAGGCTATGTAATTCTAGATAAAGTATTCTTTACTTTAAAAGCTATTAAAAAAATTAGATAAACTAGCTGTAGAGAATAAAATAGCTTAGCAATAGCTATTTAGAAGATTAGATAAAGTAACTCTACTATCTAAGAGAGTTAAAGGCTCTTCTTATATACATTAAGCTTTAGAATATAATATCTCTAGATCCTAAGCTGCGTTCTAGGCTCTAAGCCCTAGCTAAGGCTCTTAGTATACGCAACACTAGCTTTTCTAGGAAGTATTATTACTACACTTATTAACCTAGCGCTTTTAGTAAAACTAAAAATGCATATAACTATAAATTTTAACACCTACCTAGTTTTTATAAGCATAATTCTAGATAATAAGAGTGCTATGCACTTAGTAAATAGTATAAAGCTACTTATACCTAAGTTATTTAGAAAAGCGTAAGGTTTACACATAGTAAAAGTAAGCACTTAGTTATTTCTAATCTAAAAAATAGAAACTAAAAAGCTTATAAAATTTTTAAAAAAGTATAAAAAAATCGCATAGAGGATCTTATACTATAAAAAGTAGTTTTAGTAAAAGGATTTAATATTAATATTACTGTGATAACAAGCACTGTCTCTAGCAGCACTGTTACAATTACTTTAAAACCTTATTTAAGAGAAAATAAACTATAGTATTTAAAACTTAACTATATACTATGTATAAGCATACTAAAAAAAAATAAAGTACTTATAACACTTTACTAAGAATATAACTTTATGTTTATTAAATATAAAGCTGTTTTTTTTTTACCTACTAGTGTAAAGTGTGCTTCTAGAACATAGACACTTATAGATTTTATTTTTACACTTAGACTTAGAAGAGCTTTAGCATACACATATAGAACACCTAGGCTTAAAAGCTTTATAGACTCTAGTTAAAAGCATAAATAATATAAATAATAGGTATAAAGTAAGTACACTATAAGCACTGCGCAACAACCTACGCTAAGCGGGTTATATTAAGAAGACTAAAAGAGCAAGCTCTCTACCTATTTTAAAAAGTTACATAGGATATGTTTAATATGCTATTACAGCGTAGCAGAGCTGTTGCGTTTTGATAAAAGGTTAACCTTCTAGCTAGCACAGCAGAAGGATATATATAGACAGATAGCTGTATGCGACATAAACTCTACATCCTGCCCTAAAAGGGCTAGCAATGCACAGGCCTATAGACTATAAGCTAGTAGGGCTAGCTGCTGCTGTCCTACATGTAGGATAGGATTAACATTAGCGGTAGCTTAGTTAGCTGTAGCAACAGCAGTAACGTACTTCATGGGCGAGTTGCTCACACACCTGAGTTGCTTACTTTTGCTAAGACCCCACCACACTACTCTTCCTACACTAATGCATTCCTAACAACACTACTTAAACGCGTTAAAAGAACGTTAGATGTAGCTTACACTCTAGGCTTTTAAATAAAACGTAACACTTTCTAACTAATGTGCTACAGCTATCTACAGAGTCTCTTAAAAGACAATAAGTAACTAACGCGCTAGACAACCTTTCTAAGCTAATTGTACAGCTAACTTACAGAAGCTAGATAATAATAAGAAGTAGGTAATTATTTAGCACATACTTAAGCTAGATGCGCAAGAATTTCCTCTCTAGCTAGTAGCTGTAGCTAATATAGCTAATTCTTTACACGCTAAGCGCAATATAGGCTATGTTAGCATAAACTAGCCTAATATGTTTATTAAGTGTTACTTAAAGCTTAAAGTAAAGTTTAAGTGTAAGTATAACTATAAAAAAGCTTTTTATAAAAATCTTATAGTAATTTAAAGCTAGTTTAACTTTATAGAGAATATTAAAGCTAAGTATAGCATCTAGAATAACAACATGTACAACTTTAATAAAATAAGGTTTATAATAAGCTAGATATCTACTAGAGCAGTTATTACAGGTTTAGAGAGATAAGAACAGCTAAAAGCAGTCTAGCTAGGTAACTAGAAGTAGACAACAGCTATCTAGGGCATTAATGCTAAAAAGTAGGCTATTCTGCCTTTTATTATCTTTTAGGGTAGCAACTACTTTTTAAACTAGTATAAAAAGAAAAATCTACTTTAAAATTAAGTTATTATAATCTCTAAACATAGCTAAACTACTAATTAGCTTAGTCTAGACTAGTTAAAGCACTTTAACGTGTATATAAAGAAGTGTACTGTTAGTAGCTACTGTCTGCTAGTTATTAATAGCTATAAAAGCTATAACTTACTTTATTTTTAGTAATACTATAAGAATAATAAGATTATTACTATCTATATACTTTTTTACTTATTACACCTTTTATAGCTACTTAATGTGGGTTGTTTTACTCCTTTAAAAAAAGTGTATAAGTGCTAAGCTAAAAACCTTATACGCAACTAGATTACTTATATTATAAAAATAAAGTTCTTACTATGCTTTAAAGCAGCCTACAATGCTGTAATTACTTTTAGTAATATCTAAAAAAGGTTTTAAAGTGCTAGATTAGTTCTTTTTAACCTATAATAAGTTATAATAGGCCTTAATGTAAAGTTGCGCACTTTATTACTACTACTACTTATATATAATAAGCCCTAGTAGTTGTAAACTCTAAGTAATACTTTAGAACTTAAGTTATAATTAATGCTTATAAAGATAAAAATTTAGAAGCATATAAATAGTTTACTAACTTTTATAGTTAAAGTGTTTAAAAAGGTCTTAAAAAAGGCAGCAATAATTATGTATAAGCTAGTGTTAGTATAATAAAAAATTACTAAGCTTTAAGCAGCTAATAAAGCTACTACACAACATAAATTATATAAAAGAAAGCAGATTAAGGCAAAAAGAACCTTAATAATTTAAAAAGGCCTACGCTTAACAGCTCTAAAGGAGTTTAGGGTGCGCAGTAATAGAAAGAAGGCAAAGAAGCAGGTGTAAGCTAAAGTAGGTAAGCTATTCTAAAGGCGCTGCAAACAGTGCAATTAGACTAGGCATAACACGTAAATGTGTAAGCAAGAAGCAGAAGTAGTATCTAAATAATATTCTAGGCTGTACTGTACTATATAGTGCTAGAGCGGGTTGTTATAGGCTATAATAGAGTTTGTTGGGGTGGAGTCTTGGCAAAAGTAAGCGACTCGGGTGTGTGAGCGACTCGCCCATGAAGTACGTTATTATAGAAAACAAAAGCCCTATTTTAAGTGTTAGCTTTATACAACAAAAGTAATTAAGATACTGCAGGCTTAATACTTACATTATTATTATTGTTGTTGCTACTGCTGCTGCTGTTGCTGTTATTACTATCATTGTTACTGCTGCTGCTGTAGTAGTGGTGGATGTAGAAGAGTGGTGGTGCCGGCGAGTATCTACAATTATTGTACAATGCTATAGTAAAGGCAGTTGCTATAAAGGGCAGTTGCGATACAGTTACATAAAACAACCCTTTACTTCTTAAATCTCCTAAAAACATTATATAAATGCGTTATAGTATGTTTTGCCTAGTAAAATACTATAGCGTTTTATACCTAAAATGCTTCTAAACAATTAGCGATTAGTTTTTTCCCTTCACCAGCTAACAGTCCGCCGTACTGGTCGTACGCGACGCACGATGGGGCTGACTCACTCGCTTGTCTGTCTCACTTGCTTGCCGAACACGTTAGCTGGCACACACGATATAACTCTGCTTCTTGACAACAAGTTCATCATAACATCATCATTCGCACACTCAAGTGCGACATTTTCAGTTCACTACGCAATTCTCCTTACTAGTGTGCCGTCCTGCCAGAGGGCTACAATCCGTTCCCTTTCCTACTTCCCTGCCCCCGCCGACCACTTCATAGATACTCTCGCACCTTTTGGCTTCGTGAATCAGTCTACTGCAGGTAAAGTGCTCCTATCGCTACATAGCAAACCCTTTGTTCTGCATTGGAGCCAAAATTAAGTGTTGCGCTAGCAGTAACCACGGAACAATTCACTAGCCGCCGGAACCCCACTTTCGTCATACAGTCACCATGTCAGTCTCGGACATCGTTTCCGTATTGACCATCCTCATCAAGGTTGGGTCAGAAATCAAGACTCGACTCGACTCTCTCAACGAAGCTAGCGAAGACCTTCTACTGCTCACCACCAATCTTCAAGTTCTGTTGAAGTTATTTGAGGACACAGAGAACGAGGACATCATCAAGACCCACTCGTCAGAGTTTGTGAACATAGTAGATATCCTTCAAAGTATTGCGCAGTCATGCACAAGCTTTGCAAAGGCCCTCGGCGTCGAACCTGCTGAAACGACAACTGCGACTCAGAAGACAGGGATGAATGTCAAAAAAGTTGTCAAGCGGGTGTGGAATTTCACTAGGATTCCTGTCCTTCTCGCCGAAATTCGGCGTAAGGCCGAACAACTTCATCACATATCTAGCACACTGACTATTTCATTTCTCTCCGACATCCGGAAGCATCAGAGAAAGTCGAGTGGGAAGGAAAATCTCAAATCCTCCGTCGCAAAAAGCACTACTTTGCACGAGAGGTTACTAGACCTGGACCTCAGCACGGAATTCGCTAACATCGACTGGATGGTGGGAAACCTCATGAACGAATGCAAACACCTTGAGCAACAGCTCCAGGAGGCCACTCTTTTTCCCGACACGTCGATTGTTCAAGATTACCAAGCGCAGAACCCAGAAGGAGCATCATTTTGGAAGGATCGATTCCAGAAAGGCAGACTTAGCGCCTCAGCTTTTCGCTATGAGGTAATGACACTTAAAAGCAACCCCACTCCCTTTCTTCTATTTGCCATGTCGCCACATCATACTAACATGTCGCTTTCTCAACAGACGTTTTACGTTTCTTGGGCACGCTTCGTACATGAGGTAGAAACGTCCTTCACTCTCAAAATGATACCGACCGGGATTTTTGAAACCGGAAACCTTGACCTCGTTAGACTACAAGGGTCTCGTTATTCTATCAATCAAAGTGGCACACGTCGTCTTTCCACCATCCGGCCTCTCTGGCTCCCGGCTCTTCGATCTGCTCTCGATCCGCTGCACAAGGGCTACGTCAAACCTCAAGACTATTTCAAATTGATTCACGACTCTTCCTTGTCCGACACACTGAGAAGTCTGGCCCTCGAAAGCACAGGCTATGGTACGCTTGTCGAATGTGAGAGAGCGTCCGGCGATCTCGCCTTACCGGCGGCAATCGAGTCTCCTTCTGCTCATATCGGGTGGATATCTGCTCAAATCGTGGCCGTTCCAACACCTGATGAACTTGGAATCGTCACCGGACGAGAGGTCATGGAATCAAGCGGCGATGACCTCTTCGCTTACTTCAGTGAAACTGCCCGAGACGTTCACGTTCACGTTCGTTACCTCCAAACTGGCCAAATCGAGCGCAAGAGTATCTCAAAGCAAGTTCGTCCGATTGGAGGCATTTCTGTTGGCGCTGCATTGTCTATCCGGCATGAGCTGGGCTCTGGCGATCATGCCTGGAGCTGCGACCTTCACATCACTGAGTTTAAGGCATGTCAAGGTGGAGAGTATATTATTGCGGCATGTGTCGGTTCGACTTCTGTCGTATTTTCCACGAGGCCTCTCAAGACTTCATTCGACAAGATGTTACACAGCAATGACAACTCCTCAAGTTTCACCATACCGGAGTTTGACTATACCCTTCTGGGGCCGTCGAAGGTATTCATCCACCCGCCGAAAGTTGGCGAGAAGGTTCAGGTATGTACTACCCTCCTAGAACACTACGCAGTACATCTTTCAAGATGCGATTCTCATTTTGTGAACGGCTAGATCGAGTACGACGGGCTCTGGTACGATTCGAGAGTCACGGTAGTGGACGGCGATGAGATTGAGTTTGTCGACTGGGAAAATTTACCAAAAAAAGGCGAAACCAACATTACACAAGCTCAACACGGCGGCGAAGCAGATGGGAAAGATGACAGCAACCTGTTCTTTTCAGAAGAGCAGTTGACACAACTCGGGAAGGGCACGCGGCGACTCTGGCGACCGTGGCGGAGAAACATCATCAGGTACGACGTTCGGCCTTATCGTTGCTTCCATGTCGGGGACACTATCGAGGCACCCGTCATGTACCCGGATTTTCGATTTCATTACCATGTTACCGACAATTCGCAACTCTACCTTCCTGCTCGAATCGTTGACGTCCAAGGTGACCAGTATGTGGTCGAATTCAGTCCGGCGTTCTCGGTTCATAGTTGGTGGCCGGGGAGAATGCCAAAGGGCAAACAAGTAGACCTAGTACCGGGATCAGACGTTAAGATGGAAAACCCGTTCGACTTCAATCATGTGACGTTGGCCATGGATCGGGTACGTCCTCTCATCGCAGGACCACGAGCAGTGCTGGGTGTTCAGTCAGCGAAGCCGTCTGGGTGGAGTTCATTTCAGGGTATTCATCTCTGCGAACTTGAGGATCTTCTGGACGGAAGTCTCTGGAACCATGACCGCGATAATGAGCGAGCGGGTGGCCAGAGAGGCCGGAGCCGATTCGCGAATGAGGAATAGCTGGGTACTCTCGGCAGGTCGTAGAGGCCCGTTTAAGGCAGTGGCCATCTTGGATTCGGGTCAAGGCCCTTACACACAGATTTGCTACGCCTCAAATCGCGAATTATGCAGCTCACAAGACATTCTTGTTCTCGTTGCTTTCGGAAATGTGGTGTCCGCGCGTTCAGACTAGGACGCCTCTCCGAGAGATGTCGGACTAGGACGCCTCTGTTGGGTGCCAGATCCGGGAACACCTCTCCCAGGCGATAGAGAAGACTGGGACTCCTCTCCGAGAAGAGAAATCGGATCGTGACGCTTCGCTGGCGGACAAATTCGGGGACACTTCTCCCAGGGGACAGATGAGACTGGGACGTGCCTCCGAGAATGTCACGAAAGATGCTCACATTCGAAATTGACGAAGGTAGAAGGGATAGAAAGCGTAATTAATAACGTATTCCACCAGTGGGTGGCTCATACCAGTGGGTGGCTCATACCAGTGAGTGGCTCAAAATTCCTTGGCAATGAACACCACGACTACACAATGTCTCGACACTTACCAAGAGCTAATACTCAGCAAGAAGGCAGGATTGAGCTTACGCTTCAGGCATATAATGACGGCCAATTTCGAAGCTTAAGACGCGCTGCTGAGGCCTATAGCGTCGCTCAACGAACATTGACGCGAAGATACCACGGAACCCTCTCGCGCGCTGATACCCGCCCCGGCATCCAAAAGCTCACCGTGACTGAAGAGTCGACGTTTGTCCGATATATTCTCGACCTTGACTCGCGAGGATTCCCGCCCCGACTATGCGAAGTAGCGAATATGGCAGATAAACTATTAGCTACACGTGGTGGAGCGCTAGTAGGAAAGAACTGGCCTGAGCGATTTGTAACGCGTACGGACGAGCTTAAAATGGCGTTTACCTGAGCAAAGGATCGTCAGAGGATACGGCAGGAGGATCCTGAGGTTATTAGCGCGTGGTTTAAGCTAGTACAGGACACAATAATTAAGTACACCGTCCAGGATGACGACATACATAACTTTGACGAAACTGGTTTCCAGGTGGGCACAATTGGGTCTATGAAAGTCGCCACAGGCTCAGAGAGACGGAAGGGGCCTGATCTCGTACAGCCAGGCAATCGGGAGTGGGTTACTGTCATCCAGAGTATCCGCGCTGTGGGTTACGCGACCCCGCCCTTTATTATCTACAAGGGGCGCGTCCACATTTCTGCTTGGAAAATCGCAGTCTCAGAGAGAGCCACCCCAGCCAGAACTTTAGGGACTACTGCCTTGAGAACAAGATCCTCACGCTCTGTATGCCGCCTAGTTCATCCCGTATCCTCCAGCCACTTGATGTGGTCTGCTTCGCGCCTTTAAAGCAGAAGTACTCTCAGCGCGTACGGGACTTGGCGCGCCGGTCTGTCTTCCATATTAGCAAAGAAAGCTTCCTGCCAGCTTTTAAAGACGCGTCTTTTGACGTGTTTACAACGGAGAATTGCCAAAATGCCTTCTAGGCATCAGGAATAGTCCCTCTAAACACATAGGCGGTGCTTGAACACCTTGAAGTCCGGCCGCGCACCCCGCTAGACCCCCCCGCACCATAGACGCCGTGGGTATCTAAAACCCCAAACACTACGCTTGGATTCACGTTGCGGTCAAAGTTCGTACGCGAGTGCTTTAGAAAATCGCCTACAAGCACCCAGGCTAGCTTTGCATAGCTTGTTAAAGGAGCTGAGTTAATGCTGCACCCAATCACGCTCATGAGCTCCCGCATTACTAAGCTTGAAGAGCAAGTAGAGACCTGCTCCAAAGATGTTCCCAGGAGCTCAAAGACCTTATTAAACTACTTTTATAATAACTAGATATAAGCAAAAAACTAGTATATTGCTTTATATAAAATTTTTTATAATAAGACTTTATTATGTAAAGCTATTACCTTATACATCTAAGACTTTAAGGGTTACCCTAAAAAAATATAATTTACATAATATAAAAAAATAAAATAAAAGGTTAAGGATGCTAAGAAAGCTATTAACTACTTTACCTCTACTACCTACCTATACTGTGCAACAGAAGAGGACATCTATAGCATTAAATCTAAGAAGTATGCTAAGCAGTTTATTCTTAAACAACTAATACTATACAGTATACTAAGGTAAACTATAGAACATAGGCGCAGTAAAAATCTCTACTATTAGTAAGTTCTAACTTAAGGTGTACATATAAGAGAACTTATATATAAAAATTAATTAAACACTTAGTAAAATAAATATTAACTTTAAAAGCTAGACACTAAAAAAATTAATTAGTATAGTATAAATCTAGAACCTAATTAGTCTAGTTACTTACTATATTTTAGAAACTCTAACACTTTTCCTGCTATTATTAGTAAATGCTAACTAGCTTAAGGCATACTTTAACAACATCTTAAATGTTATTATACATAAATATAAAACTACTGTCTTTATTATATAAAAATAAGAACACTTTTTATTAATATTAGTAAAAAAGAATTTATATCTTTCTTTACTAAATTAAAACTTTGCTGCCTCTACTACTAATTTAGACACCCCTACATAGAAAGACTTTAGAAGATGCTAACTAGTGCTAGCTATAACATTAATACTGCAGTGTTAGAAAAGACTAAAATGTTTTACTACTTCTACTAATTATATAACTAAGCACTATAAAGATTTAAGTTTATAATTAAAAATACCACTTACTTTAACTATAAAGTTATTATTAATGTTATATAGATTACTAATAAAGATGTTTTACATATTATTAACATAGATATATTATTCTAAGCTGCTACATTCCTAAAATCTATATCTACACAAGATACCTAAGATGTACTGTGTAAGTGCTAGATTAACACTTATTAGAGACCCCTAGACTACATTATGTATAACTTTAGTATAAACTTTACCTTAGAGAATTTCTAAGCTTATATAAAAATTATTAAAGCTACCTGTAGAAAGATGCTTATAAAAGCATATTAGGCAGTTAGAAAGGTTAAACGCGTGCACACACCTCTTTAATAAGTGTTTAACATTCTAAAGACTAAGCTAGGTAACTATACAGTGTAAGGCCGGATGTCCCAGAACGGGCCAGTATGGCCTCACCTGACCTGTTTGGAGGTCGTATGACCTGTGCTTCGTATATAAGCATGAATCCTGACAAGCGAAGCTTGGCAGCGATTCGTCTCTCTTACAATACACTCCTATCTTTCTCCGAAAGCTTGCTCTCAGTGCTATTCGTGCTACTTACCATCCCATCTTTACATACAGAGGATAAAGCTATTCTGTAGATAGTAGTTAAGACTCTAAATAATACTGCTAGTCTGCACAGTCTAGTACCTACGCTGCTAGTCTTTAGAGTATACTTAAGAATTAACTTAAACTTTTTACTATTACTAGATATTATTACATAAGCAAGCGCTATATAAAAGGTAATAAAAATACTTTAAAAAGACTATGTAAAAGTAAACATTAATTATATAATTAACACTTATAATAGCTTTATAATATATAAAGTTTTTAACTTTCCTTTTAGCTTAAAGATTATAGCATAGAGGGAGAAGAAAGGCTAGACTAGCCTATATAAGATTAAGAGTATTAAAAGAAAAGATGTTATTATTAAAAGAAAAAATAGCCTACTACAGCTCTAATGTACGCAGGTTAAACTATACTATAAAGAAAAGAAGAAAGACAACTTACCTGTAACAAAAGACCTAAATAAACTAACCTCTATATAAAGAGATTCTTTATAAAGGAGGAAAAAAGGATAACTTTATAAGAATACTGTAAAGGTAGAACTAGAGCCTATTATAAACTAAGCTCTCTAGGGCAGTAATGTTGCACTAGTGCAAAGGGAAGACAGAGATACTAGAAGAAGTAGAAGGCAAAGAAAACCTGCATAAAGCCTAGATTAGGTATTTCTAACCTAGAAAAAAAATAATTAGGCCTTATTTATTAAGCTTTATATAGATAGTGTAATTACTACACTTAAAAAACTATTTAAGAAATTAGACTATATAGAGATAAACACTTTAATTACTAATAGCACTTTTAAGGTTATAGTGTATAACTTAATAAAGCATAAAAGTTGGATTTTTAACCTTTGCTTTATATAAGAAGTAAAAGGCAAAATAACCTAACTATATAAAAAATCCTGCTTAGTGTTTACTAGCTACTTAGATAAAAAAAATCTTTACTTAATTACTAACTATTTAGAGAATAAGCTAGAGACTACTTTTAGCTATAAAAGTAAGCTTAAAAGCTATGTATAAAATGTATTTTAAACTGCGTAATATTACATAAGCATACATTTAATTAACAGATAAGCTTCTGCGCACGCTGTATATAAAGCTACTAAAAAAGATACACTAGAACTTTCTACTAAATATAATCTTCTAGGTTGTACAACTCTTATATAGAGCTGCAGAATTAGGCTTATATTAGTTTAAAATATACTATAACTACTATAAAGAAAAGCTATATATGCATATCTTTTTATATAACCCCTACTTCTTAATTATAGATAAAAAAAAGCACACTTTTAGTATAACTAGCTTATAAATAGATAATACTTTAAGTATTATAATAAAGAACTTTACATAAAGAGAGAAGAATCAACTGCAGAAAGTAAATCTTTATATAAAAGGTAAGACTATGCTGTCTAAGAACTAGCTTATTAAATTTAATAAAAAAAGATCTAGCTTACATAAAATAAAGTTACTCTTATCTAAAAAGGTTAAGTAAAGAACCTTTATATAATTAATGCTATAGCAGAGGATGCTGTATAATAGTATGTTGTATAAAGAGCTAGAGAAGCATATATTACCTTAGTATGTTAACTAAAGGCAGCATTTAATCTTTTAGTTACTGCCTAAACTACAGATCCTTTGCATAAAGACATTAAAGCTCTTAATATCTATATCTAGTAGTAGATAGACAACAGTAGCAGAGGACTTACTTTTATGCTACTATAACTAGACTGCATAAAGCTGTTTATCTTTATAAATAGATTATTTACTAATAATAAGAACCTTAGTGTTACAGTCTACGGTTGGACCAGCGTAACTCCACCAGCGGTGCTCCACAATCTAGCCGAGTTGGGGCAGGGCTCGCTTATGAACCAGTCGGAGGACACGGAGGCAGCGCAGCTGCCTGCAATGATGGAGGAGTGCGTTATCTAGTAAGGAGGCAGGCTATAAATTTGCTAAGTCTAAGAAAGCTTAAGAAGCTCTGCTTAGTAAGCTTACATAAACTTATTCTA